CCTAAAAATATAAAAAAAATTAGCCAGGTGTGGTAGTGCATGCCTGTGATCCAGCTACTCGGGAGGCTAAGGCAGGAGAATCACTTGAACCCGAGGTGGAGGTTGCAGTGAGCCAAGATTGCGCCACTGCACTCTAGCTTGGGTGACAGGCAGAGACTCCGTCTCAAGAAAAGAAAAAAAAAAGATTAATCTATTAGGCTTTACAAATCAAAAGACTGGAATGAAGAGTTTTTCTTTTGTCATTCATTTTAAGGAATTGAGTGTGACTCATGACTCAAGACAAACTAGATTGTTTTTTCAAAAAATTACAGCTCTTAGAATTTAAACATCAAAATGAGTGCTGTCTGTTAAAATAGTTTCTTTGGGAGATTATCTAAAATTATTTGATGATGTTGCTGATGTTACTATTATTATTTGAAATGCTGTTGACTTTTTTAAAAAGGGACTATCTTGGCCAGACTGTTTAGCAAATGGTAACTGTTAACTATACTAGGTTTTGATGAAAACTTGGCTTAACAACATGTTATTGCTATTTTAAGTGATTGTTGGGGCCAAGGAATGCCATGTGGAGAGTGCAGATGAAGTGATGAGCCTTTTGGAGACGGGGAATGCAGCCAGACATACAGGTACCACCCAAATGAATGAGCACTCCAGCAGATCACATGCAATTTTTACAATCAGCATTTGTCAAGTTCATAAAAATGTGGAGGCAGCTGAAGATGGATCATGGTATTCCCCTCGGCATATTGTCTCAAAGTTCCACTTTGTGGATTTGGCAGGATCAGAAAGAGTAACCAAAACGGGGAATACTGGTGAACGGTTCAAAGAATCCATTCAAATCAATAGTGGATTGCTGGCGTTAGGAAATGTAATAAGCGCTCTTGGGGACCCACGCAGGAAGAGTTCACATATTCCATATAGGGATGCTAAAATTACCCGGCTTCTGAAAGATTCTCTGGGAGGCAGTGCTAAGACTGTCATGATCACATGTGTCAGCCCCTCCTCCTCGAATTTTGATGAGTCATTAAATTCTCTCAAATATGCCAACAGAGCACGGAACATTAGAAACAAACCCACTGTAAACTTCAGCCCCGAGTCAGACCGTATAGATGAAATGGAATTTGAGATTAAATTGCTTCGAGAAGCTTTGCAAAGCCAGCAGGCTAATGTCAGCCAAACTAGCCAGATCCATCGAGAAGGGAGTCCTGATACAAATAGGATTCATTCTCTTGAGGAGCAAGTAGCTCAGCTTCAAGGAGAATGTCTGGGTTACCAATGTTGTGTAGAAGAAGCCTTTACCTTCCTGGTTGACTTAAAAGATACTGTCAGACTAAACCAAAAGCAGCAATACAAATTGCAGGAGTGGTTTAACATGATCCAAGAGGTCAGGAAGGCTGTGGTCACCTCATTTCGAGGAATCGGAGGCACTGCAAGTCTGGAAGAAGGACCAGAGCATGTTACAGTTCTCCAGCTGAAGAGAGAGCTTAAGAAATGCCAGGTACTTAGACATCACTTATTTATTTATTTTATTGATACATAATAGATGTACATATTTTGGGGGTGTATGTGTTAACATATTTAGACATTATTATGGATAACTCTTTTAAGGACTAAATTTATTTGGGCAAGTAAATTCTAAGAGTCATTTTGGAATTTTAGGTTTTTTAAAAAATGATTTATATATAGAATCCCACTTGCCTCTCTCACTTTGTTCTTTCTACCCTCCCCTTTCCTATTGCTTCCTCATCACAATTCATACTCTTCTTGACTCCTCCTCCTTTCTCCTTTGGTTAAAGTGTATTTTAATTTGTTATATTTATTAAATAGAACTTTGTGGACCTGGTTGTCAATTTAGAGACTGAAAATAAACTTATTTGAGAAATAAAATTAAGTTATCTTTTACTGAGTTTTTTTCCCTCTGTGGGTCAGTAGTTCTTGAAAGAAAAGAAATACTTCATCTCTTGTGTTTGGAGTATAGGTTTAAAAAAAAAACCTAACAAATTAGCATATTTATTAATGTTTAAGGAATGTAGGTATGTACATGTATACATGTTATATGTACATTTATTGAGTTCAGATTTACATTTCCCCACTTTTCATTCAGAAATTATTTATTGTGTGAGGATTGTATGTTGTGGGAATGGTAGAGGACAGACACACCTAGTTACTGCTTGCTTGGATGGAGTTTGCAATCTAGTGAGCAAATGAATGGTCCTTCAGTTGTTCCTGAGATAACATGGCTCCCAGATTCCATCGTTCTGTCCATTTTTCAAAATAGGAAAACTTGAATAGATAGCTTTTTACTTAAAAAGGAAATATGGTTTAAGTATATTTCCTTTTTTTTTTTTAAGCTCTAAGCTTATTTCTCTAGCTAGAAATATTTCCTCAAAGCCTTTTTACATGTAATATTATAAAGAAGGCATTTGTATTATCCTCTGTTAGAGCAGTTCTCAAGTTCTCCAACTTTTTGATCACAGGACTTCTTCTTCTTTACACTTTTAAAGTGAGATCCCTCAAAGAGCTTTTGTTCATGTGGGTTATATCTATTGATATTTAGTGTGTTAGAATTAAAACTGGAAAAAATCTAAGCTATTTATTCATTCAAAACTAACGGTAACCCAATTATATGTTAATATAAAGAGCACTTTTAATGAAAAATATTTTCTAACACAATTTTTTTTTTTTTTTTTTAAGATGGAATCTTGCTCTCTCACCAGGCTGGAGTGCAATGGCATGATGTCGGCTCACTGCAGCCTCTGCCTCCCAGGTTGAAGCGATTCTCCTGCCTCAGCCTCCCAAGTAGCTGGGACTACAGGTGCACGCCACCATGCCCAGCTAATTTTTGTATTTTTAGTAGAGACGAGGTTTCACCATGTTGGCCAGGATGGTCTCCATCTCTTGACCTCATGATCTGCCCGCCTTGGCCTACCAGAGTGCTGGGATTATAGGTGTGAGCCACTGTACCCAGCCAACACACACAAAAATTTTAGTAAGAGTAGAATTCCTTTACATTTTTGCAAATGTCTTTAACATCTGATCTAATAACAGACAGTTGGATTTTCATATCTGCTTCAGTATTCAGTTTGTTGCAATATGTTGTTTTTGTTGAAGTTTGTGAAGAAAATTCAGCCTCATAGTTGTATAGTTTGAAGGGAGGAGTTTTTTTTGTTTTGTTTTGTTTTGTTTTGTTTTGAGATAGAGTCTGGCTCTGTAGCCCAGGCTGGAGTGCAGTGGCGTGATCTTGACCTCGGCTCACTGCAAGCTCCGCCTCCCAGGTTCACGCCATTCTCCTGCCTCAGCCTCCTGAGTAGCTGGGACTACAGGCGCCTGCCACCGCGCCCGGCTAATTTTTTGTATTTTTAGTAGAGACGGGGTTTCACCGTGGTCTCGATATCCTGACCTCGTGATCCGCCCACCTCGGCCTCCCAAAGTGCTGGGATTACAAGCGTGAGCCACCGCGCCCGGCCGGGAGGAGTATTTCACTGAATTTTCAGATAATTGTGGATGTTCTTCTTTCCTATTACACCAAACTCAACAAGCGGAAATTTCTCGTTACTTGAAATATGAGATTTGAAACTATCTTGTTACATTAATGTACTAGTCTCAGCCAGCACAGTGGCTCATGCCTGTAATCACAGCACTTTGGGAGACTGAGGCTGGAGGGTCGTTTTGAGCCCAGGAGTTTGAGACCAGTTTGGGAAACAAAATGAGACCCCTGTCTCTACAAAAAATGAAAAAACTAGTCAGACATGGTGGCACATGCCTGTGGTCCCACCTACTCGGGTGACTTAGGTGGGAGGATTACTTGAGCCCAGGAGTTCAAGGCTGCAGTGAGCTGTGATTGCACCACTGCACTCCAGCCTGGGGTCAGAGTGAGACCCTGTCTCTAAACATAAATGAATAAATAAATAATGACATAGAAACATGTAATACTTTTTAAATAATTTTTTTTAGTTCTTTTTTTTTTTTTCTGAAACGTAGTAATTCTGTGTAGGTAGAGCAGGCCCTTCCTCATTAGTATAAGAAACTGGTGGAACAGGAAGTACTGGTAATTGGAAGCTTGAATGTTGGGACATATATAGGAGTTGGTAATAGGAAGCACTTTTCTGTCATGCTTCTAAGGTGGCTGAAATTGGAAGCCCATCAAACCGATTGCTTGGGGGTAAGGTAGGTAGTAAGTTCCTCTTTCCACGTGTTGGAAAATAAATTTAAGTTTGCCCTCGATTATGTTCTCTAGATTATTACATCCTAAAGATATTAACAGTTTTGTTGAAGAAAGTACCATGACCAGATTATTTTGGGAAATAGTAGATTGCAAAAAGCAAATGGGTTTCTTTTTCTTTCTTTCTTTTTTTTTTTTTGGAGACAGGGTCTCCCTGTGTCACTGAGGTTGGAGTGCAGTGGCATCATCATGGCTCACTGCAGCCTTGACGTCCAGGGCTCAAGCAGTCCTTCCACCTCAGCCTCCTGAGTAGCTGGGAGCACAGGCCACCATGCAAGGCTAATTTTTTTTTTTTTTTTT